AATGCCAACCTTGTGGTTAACAGCCCAAGTGCAACCACTTTACTACCAGGGTTAGTGTAGCCATTTTTTAAATGAAAATAGCTTCCAAAGAACTTCACATTTACTCAGAATGGCTATAGTGTAATACCACTGAGGGAGCACAATGACTTCTTGCAGTAAGCACCATTGGACTGTGATCTACAAGGTCTGTAGTTTGAGTCCACCAGTTGCTCTGCGGGAGAAAGAAGAGGTTTTCTGCTCCCATAAAGATTTCAAAAGCCTCCAAAATCCTGTACAGGGTAGCAATGAGCTGGAATCGACTGGAGGGCATTTAGCAACAATAGCAACAAAAATAGTATGGAGGAAGCCACCAAAAAGATAGAAAGAAATCAAAAAGGATTACATTTTGAGTTCTATCTTTTAGAAGACCAAAATAAGGTCAGGTAGATTTTTGATTGCTCTACCACTTATGGTGACTTAAGTTTGTCATTCCACCTCTCTTCCTTTCTATTTGTTTCTAAAGCTGGCTACTTATATTGGCTATTGGATTGTGACAAAGATTAAATGAGCATCTAGTAAGCCTTTGAAAAACTGCTATGAATATTATCAGCAGCAGCAGCACTGGTGTTTTAGAAAAGTAACGGATTCAAATTCCACCTCTGCAATTGTCAAGTGTATTAGCATAACCTTCTAAGCCTCGAATATTTTATCTGTAGGATGTCGATGTCATCTCCACCTAACAATGCTTTGAAGATTAAATGCAATGATATAAAGCACTTAGAACAGCCTAAGTCTCCTCAATAAAAGACTATTTTCTTTTCATCTCCCTTATTTTTTTAAAATAATATAAACTGTACAAACAGTAAACACCAATGAGTAACTAAGAGCTGGCCAGAGTATAAAAGCATCATGTTAGAGGCCACAGTAAATGTAGTAAGGCTAGTTCCAACTGTCTAAGTAGCAAGTCGGGCCTAGTTTTGTAAACAGTGCTGTTTACAAAACAGCTGGTACACACACCAGAATTGAGCCAGTATTTATAGCCTTGCTTCTTTGAGGAGATGCTTTCCAAATTCCAAATACTTCAATGATGAATGAACTTCGTGAAGAAATACAATTTTGGCATTTCAACCTTGGATACACGTGGGAAAAACAGCCGACTTTCAGTTCAAACCGACCTTGAAGTCGAGTGCTTATCCTACAGTGCCACACCAGACCTCCAACAGAGATATACTATATTACTAACATTATTAAAATCACTTACTTATACACTTAAAATGCCTAAATGGTTAATATGGCAAATTTTATTACATAATTCTCCATTTTTTTTTAAGTTTATAAATTAAGAACAAGTTTTTTATTGTTTTTCTTCTACTAAAAGTAAGGAAGAATCAAAAATGATTCAAAACAGAAAATAATTCATTAAGATATAATGCAATTAAAAAATACATACATAATACGTTGTTGTTGTTGTTAAGTGCCATCGAGTCGATTCTGACCCATCGCAACCCTGTATGGGATTTCCAAGGAGTCGCTGGTGAGCTTGAACTGCCAACTTTGCAGTTCAAATGTCTTTGCAGTCTGGTGCATTAACCCACAGCGCCACACCAGGACTCCTATACATAATATACTTATTATTAAATATGTGTGTGACCCATTATGGTATGTCACAGCATCTTGTCAAACAAATTAACTAGACTCTGGTGCAAGTTGGATCCAAATCAATGGCACTTAACTACAACAATGTGAAAAGGGCTCTTGTCTTAGAAAAAGCTAAAGAAAATCATTCTAAGAACTTTCCCCATCTTGGCTTTCTACTCCTGAAATTATCTTGGATATAAAGTATATCTCCTCCCTGAAGTATGAGATCATTTTACTGAAAACAAAAGACAGCATTTTTGTGTTTGTTTGAAAAGGGGGAAGGAAGAGGCTATCTCTTCTGAAGAAGTACCTGGTTAAGCAAATGGTTAAGCTACTCACTGAAAGGTTGGAAGTTCCAATCCATCTGAAAAAATGGCCTGGTGAGCTACTTGGGAAAGATCAGCATCAATGAAAACTATAGAGCACAGTTCTACTCTGACAAACATGGGTTTAATATTATCAGAATCAACTGTACTGATCCGGTTTTGTTTAAATCATCTCACTTAAACTAAAACTGAATTTATTTAAAGTTTAACTAACTTGTTGTATTGGTTCATACTCAAGTAAAGAAAGCAATTTTTATTGATTTTAATAGCCCTCATCTTCAGTTTTCTGTAGTTAGAAGGCTTTAAACCAAATTAATGATGATAAAGGCAACAAATAAATTAAGAAATAGAGGACAATGATATACTTGAAAAAGCTAGAATATCAATGAACTAGGCTTGCTTCAGATTGCTTTATCTTCTGAGACAAGTGAAAATTAAGGTAGTGGTAACAATCTTTGTTTCCTTTATTCTCCTTAATCAATTTCTTTTTTAGAAAAGTTTAATTGATAATGTGCCTAGTAAAATATTAAATGAAAAATAACAAAAATATTTTCTTATCAATAATTGGATAAGTTACAGCCAATATTTACATAGACAAGTGTCGAGGACCAGCCTCGACACGGATGTTTGGTTCACGAGGAGGGGATATCTGGCGGCGATAGGGATAGCAAAAGAGAAGACACAGAGACACAAAGAGAGAGACAAAGAGACACCCTGAAACCAGAGTGGATGCATTACTGGTGTCCGGCAGATCTGGCGTGGTGAACATATTACCCATGAGGGCAGTAAGATCCCGCATAGCAAACATCTTAGCTATGCGGGCAGTACATTCCCTTTGCTAGTTGTCAGCCACGCATGCCTACTCAGCCGTATAACACGCCCTCCAAGCTGTAATGCACACCTTGCCAGCCATAATGCACACCTGGTTGGGCCTGCACCTCCGTTTTATTTAGGGGAGGTACTTTACACAAAGCTGGGCGGGACTAAGACAAGGTACAGCTAACATATGTAATTTTCCAGACATTCAAGCAGCTTTACGTGATACTTCGCAGGTTCGAATCTCACGACCACAACTTGGTTTCTCAAGCTTAATTAACATACCTTTTAGCACCTAGCCTCAAATGGGGGAAGGAGGAGGATTGGGAGGAGTCCCATTGTGTCGGCTGCCCAGCCCAGGTTTCTCAGGAAGCTAGACGCCTGGGTGAATAGGGCTGCACCTGGAAACACTTTAGGGAGGGTGTCCTTTTGACCTTAGAACAAAGACCGAGGAGCCACCCAATTTACTTTGACTGAATTCTTTGAGGGAAGAACTTTGCCTTTCTGGAATTTTACACTCTTGGCTTTTAGGAAAATATTACATTTATCTGTGGATATCAGGGCTTCATGTATGCAATTAATAATAAACATTACTGAATACTAAGATGAAAAACAGTTTGCTATGTCTGCTAGGTGGCTAGAGTCTGTTCCTCAAAGCCTGCGGCCTGTACGGTCTGCAACACTTGGGCCCACAGGGCCTCGAACTCCTGACCGGGTCTGCACGGTCTGCAACAGACAAGCACAGTATAAAATTCATTCTTTTCCTGACAGACTAGAGTTTAGTAGTTTTAAGAACATCTTTGTCCTTTTGTTGTTGTTGTTGTTGTTGTTGTTAGGTGTCATAGAGTCAGTACCGATGAGAGCATGAGTTGGTATATTCTTTTTGGAAAACAATATGGCAATATACATCAAGACTTTTGAAAATATTTAGAACCTTTGATTAATAATATGTCTAGGATTCAATTCTAAAAGAAATCATCAGAGACAATAACAAGATATAAGTAAAATGGTATTCATCAAAGTGCTTTTTATGATAGTGAAAATTTATAAAGAGCATGCATGACCAACAATATGGAAATGTGGACCAAATAAAAATGTTAAATGCATAATTGCATATCTGTTTGATGAAAAAATGTAATGATATTAAAAATCCTATTTTTGAGGAATATCTAAGGTGACAGGAAGATACTCTTGATAAAATGCCAGATTTTTTCAGTAAATAGGGGCTATAAAGGCATGAAGTGGCTGGCTTACAAGTTTTCAAGAAGGAGACTAGTTTCAGAGGGTGCTGGGGAATGTAGAAGTGAAGACTGAGTGGTTTCCAACCTGTCTGGATGGGGCTGGTGAAAGGATATGGGGATAAGGCTCTTGTGGTTCAATAGTGAATAATTGTTATCAGGACTAATATGATTGTGAGTGTTGCAAATGTAAAGGTAGACGTTTTGTAACAAAAGGAGGGCAGTGATTGATCTTACAGTTCAGCAGAGGAGGTCCCTGGGACCATCAAGGGAGAAGAGCAGAGTGCGGGACCCTACCCAGAGAAACAGTGATGCCAGAGATGGAGGCAGAGACGATGACATGGAGAGATGGCTGGGGACTCTAGACCCAGAGAGGGAGAGGGCTGTGTGCTGACAACTGAGGGGCAGGTTTGCAGGGTGTACCCTTTGGTTGTTTGGTGATGCATGGAGGGGATTGTAATCATGGCAATGAAATGAATGATACACGACAGGATGAATGTAAAGCTAATGTTCTCCCATGTAAACTATCCCATAATTCACAATAAAAACTTAATAAATAAATAAATAAAAATTCCTATATTAAAGTATTCTTAATTCTTGGGAAAAAATTAGAAACTTTGATAGGGAAGCAGTAGGACACAATTAAAAATTAAGACAGCATACTGATCTTTAGCTAGCATGTTAGAATCATTAGGTTCATCTAGAGTTTCTCATTTATTTCTACACAAAAGATTTCCAAGAACAGGGAAACCAAACTGACTATCTTAAATCCTTGTACGGCACTGTAGGATAAGACTGGACTGCTAACTGCCATATTGGTGGTTCAAACCCACCAGCCGCTCCTTGGAAACTTCATACCGGGTTGCTATGAGTCGGAAGCAACTAGATGACAACCGAGAACACAGCACATCTAGCTTCCACCATTACATGAGTGCTGTCTTCCTACTTCAAAAGAACAATCTCATGTAGACCTGATGTCACATGCTGAAGCAGAAGGACTTGCCTGATCAATGTAAAACGCAGTACCAGAGCGGATCTCTCGACGCTGTTTGAGGTCCGTTTCAGTGGTGTCCCTTGACAGGGCAATGTACTCAACCTCCCGCTTGGTCAGCTCCTGTCGAGGAAGAGTGAAGTTAGTTTAAAAGTAAAGGCAGAAGCCCCTGTGGGCCCAAGCGTTGTTGATCATCCAAACCATAGGCTCTGAGGATCAGACTTTAGCTACCTAGTAGACATAGCAAACTGTCCCTCATCTGATTATTCAGTAATGCTTGTTAGTAATCTCATACATGAGCCCTGGATATCCACAGACAAATGTAAAAACCTTCCCTAAAAGCCGAGACTGTAAATTCCAAAAAGGCAAGTCCCCCCCCACCCCCCCCCATCCAAAAAAAAAAAAAAGCTAAAGAGGATAGAAACACTGTTAACCGATGATATATGGAGGGGATAATAATCAATGTAATGAAACAAGCTATATGAATGGTTGAATTTGAAGCTGATGATGTGCCCTGTAAACTTTCACTCAATCCAAAATAAAAACATTTAATTAAAAAAAAAAAGAAAAGAAAAGTGAATTGGAAGCTGTTTAAAAAAATAATTTGCTTGAAATGCAATCTGAAGGCTTTTTCTTAAATGTGGGATCAGAAACTCAAATGCCTTTAGAAGCTAGGCAAATAGAATAAGTAAGTCAACCAGAGCAGGACTGTAGCAAACAAGAACATGTGGGAGTTCTACAAAAGCTGGAGGTTGCTATCCCAAGTCTACTTTTCTGATGATATTAGCTTGGATTTGTATATGAAATCTATTGATTTCTAAATGTTGGCAATGAATTCAAGAAAAATAAACATTAAAACCAAAACACTGGAAGATCCATCCAAACCATAAGTATCTGTGAAGATAGGTCATAGGATATTGATACAAAATCACAGAAAATTTTATTAAACAAAAATATCAAAATGTGATGCTATTGTTTCTCTACCTATGCCCATACACTTATGAAAGTAGTGTTTGCATCTCTCTAACTCTTCCCTGAAGAATTTTGTGATCTGAATTACTTTGCATCAAAAAAGCAACTATGGCATCCTCAAGGGATTCAAATCACATTTCTTTTAAGTGTTCTTTGAGTTTAGGCAACAAAAAGAAGTTTGAAGGGGCAAGATCAATACTGTAGGGAGGGTAGGGTATGGTTTCTCAAGGAAATTCTTGTATGACAGCCCTTGGTACTATCAAAGAATGAGCAAATGTGTTGTGAAGGAATAAAGCGTCCTCAGTGCGACTTTCCCATTCTTTTTCTCACTAGTGCAATATTCAGTTTTTGTAAAATGTCTTCATAATAAATACTCATGTTTTCCTTAAAAAAAAAAAAAAGTAAAGGCAGATACCATGTGACTCATACCAAGTTCTACAACAATGTGACTTCCTACAGAGTACCATTTTCCAGCTTAGCTTTTATTCTTTTTTTATGCACTAATCAAGACATGTACTTACTACTCAGAGCTCCCTCTATTTCTACAGTAGCAAAACCTACTACAGCAAAAATAATTTAAAAAATCGATCTGAAAAACCTTAACATTTCAGGTAGAATTCTTTTCAAATAGCATTACTTGATTTTCCAAAGTAACAGCCTTGTCTATAAGTGAAGTTCATCTTTTTCAAGAACAGTGATGGAAGTGTGTTTATTCCAGCTACAACATGCCAGGAGTTCTACTAAATATGGAAAAAAGGTAAATGCAATGGTGAGATCCCAACAGAGGAGAGACGCATACATAAGAAGAAAAAAGTAAGAGAAAGAGAATGAGTTTATTTCAACAACAACAATAAAAATTTAACTTGAAGAGAAAATACTCCAGAATCCATTTCTTTTGAAATAATTAGCCATCATTGAAGTCAATTTTGCCCTGGTGTGAGTTGCCATTGCATCAGCTTGGACTCATGACGACCCCAGAACAACAGACAGAAACACCACCTGGTCCTGCCCATCACCATGATCGCTGTTACATTCAGATCCAGGTGAGGCCACTGTGTATTCTGAGTGTCTACCAACCAAGGGCGCTCATCTTCTAGCACTACATCAGATAACATTTTGTTGTGTTTCCATTGACTACTTTTCAGAAATCAACTGACAGTTCTTTCTGCCTGGTCTATCTTGGTCTAAAAGCACTGCTGAATTCTGTTTATCACACTAGTACTTGAAATACCAGAGGTATAGCTTCCAGTATCATAGCAACACACAAGCCACCAAAATGCAACTAACAGACGGTAGAATTTTTGCCTTTCACATACAAAATAATATTAACATGATCCTTGATTCAATTCAAAATAATGACTTTCTCCAGTCATATATGGCATTTGATATGCTTTCATTACACAGAAGAGCAAATTCATTTACTAGCATATAATGATAAAAGTTGAATGTGCATGAATTAATGGAGAAGAGACATTTTTACAGGTTGAGTTTTTTTCTCCACTCCATCTTTACTAGATGTTGATCAAAATATATTATTGCTATTTAGTTTTAAAAAAAACAAAAACCCTGCCATTTTGCATGAATCCATAACTTCAAGTAAGTATAAAAAAGAGGAAATATTTTTAAATGGAAAGAAATAAGAAAATGTACATAATTTTAGTATTGTGATACCATGCCACAGTTGTCTTATCAAGAATGAATTATCTGTGGGAACACAATTTTGATGTAAAGTATCAGGTTCTCTTTTCAGTAGCTATCTCCTTCTTGTTTATGGAACCCATCAATAGTAACTCATATCTGTCGCATCCATTGGCAGAGTCTCACTGAAAAACGATGTCACACATGACAGAACTCCATGGTTGGCAAAGCCCAGTGTACCTCTTCTTGTCACATTAAACATCCTGAACTGCCACCTTCAAAGTAACGTGATCACATTATTCTCAGTCTTGATCACTTCCTTGGACTCATCATCAGGCATGTCAAGCACCAAAGTCTCCTCAGCTGCCGCTTCACAAAAGAAGTATGAAAAATCACACAGATAGCAAGCACCGGAAGAAGCAGAAACAGATGGAAGAGGCAGCAGTGGTCTGTTGAAGCGTAGTGGTTTTCTTTTAGAGCCATCTACAAAACTCCTTTTATATGAGTTAAACAGAGAATAAAAACTATAATATTATTTCTATTTATTTTCTTATAGCTTCTTCAATACACTTACCCCAAATTTCTGCCTTTAAAGAACTGATCGATGCTGGCCATTTCCAGGCATAGAATCTTGTACCAATGACAGTCATACTCACTGCAGAGATGTGCAAGGCAGCTTTCTCTGCAGTATAGAGTGTTCTTATCCCGCATTTCCACACACAGTAGATGCCTCAGCTCTCACTCACAATTTAAAGTTAGTTTTTAAAAGGATACAGTCCTTTGGGGACTTCTGAGCCCATGAACCTAGCCATAGAGGGCTAGAGCTGAGAGTGAAGTGTCCAGCTGATATGAAGTGAGGGGAGATGCACAAGAATGCCCAAACTTGTAGATAGTACCCATTTGACCTAGCTTCAATGGCTTGATGATTAGAACTCTGCTAGAGAAAGATAAAGAAATCTGATAAAGGGAGCAAGTGTAAATTGCTACTATTTGATGAACTTGACCTATACTTATGGATGTAATAGTTCAAAATACAAACCAAAAGGGAAGGGGTCTTTACATAAAGTGTCAAACCTATCCTCTGGTAGGGACAGGCGATTTAGACATTGGCTACCTAAAATAGGGGATGATAAAGGCACAAAGTGGCTAGCTTACAAGTTTTCAAGAGGGAAATTAGTTTCAGAGCATGCAGAGAAAGGTAGAATCCCCACTGAATAGTTTTCTTCCTTGTCTATATGGGTTAGGAGAAAGGAGATGGGGATGGGATTCATTGATTCAATAGAAAGTAGTTGTTATACCTAATCATGATTGCCACAAATGTAAAGGTAGAGGTGATGTAATAAAAAGTGGGGAGTAGTTAATATTGCATTCCGGGAACAGAGGACCTTAGGACCATCAAGAGGGAATAGTATGAACTGAATGTGGGACCCTAACCAGAGAAGCAACGACACCAAAGATGGAAGCAGAGGTGATGGCAGGGAGAGATTGAGCAGCTGAGGACTCTAGAGAAAGGAAAGAGAAAGGTTGTGTGCTGGTGGCCAGGAGACTGGCTTCCAGAATATGTCCTGTGGTTGTTTAAACAATTACATATCTCTGCATGTTTTTTAAAATATATGCACTGGAGGGTAGACATGTGTTGACATGGGTGACAGGGCAAGCAATATACAACCTAAGGGAGGTTGGCAGAGGAAAGATGGGGTTGGCAGGAGACATAGGGAAGAATGCAGTGGTTGGAGTAAACAGAGGTAAATGCTGTTAACTGTTGGTGCATGGAGGGGATTGCAACCAGGTAATAAAGCAAAGTATATGATTTTTTGAATATAAAACTGATGATCTGCTCTGTAAACATTCACTCAATTCACAATAAAAAGTTTTTTTAAAAAAAAAAAAGAATACAGTCTTCACACTTAATAGACATGTTACATTAAAAAAAAAAAAAAAAAAAAAAAACCTTTATAATCCTTTTGCTGTGGAAATGGTTGCAACTCATAGTGACCCTCTAAGGAGCTCTGGAAGCGTAGTGATTACAAATTGGGCTGCAAATCTTAAGGTCAGCAGTTTGAAACTACCAGCTGTTCCATGGGAGAAAGATGAGGCTTTCTGCTCCCATAAAGATTTACAGCCTGGGAAACCCTGTACAGGGTCACTATGAGTCGGAACTGCATCCACGGCACATCACCACCAACCAACCACAGAGTTTCCAAGGAGCAGCTGGTGCATTTGAACAGCCAATCTTGTGGTTAGCAGTCCAGTGTTTATCCTGCAGAGCCACCAAGGTAACTTTTATAATCTTTAATCCTTCTTATTCCAACTAACCTCAAAGCCTTGCCAAAAACAAAATCTCGGTGAGATGTTGTGATCTTTGAAGTCAGCATGGTAGGGAGTATACATCTTAGAATTACAGAGGTTTGAGATCTAGACTTTTAGACTTGGAATTCTACTCGTTAATTCTCTATTCTTAGACAAGACACTTTTGCCTTGATATATTAATAAAGTGAGGATAAAACTACAATGGCATATGATAACCTCACAAACTTGTTCTCAAAATAAAAAGATATGAAAGGTATGGGCTAGTGGAAGTTAGGTTCTGCTTTGTCTGTTGTATTTTTACCATTCCTGCTCCACATGATTTCTAAAGAACCAAAATAAACTCACCAGTGAAATACAAGAGCATATGAAGTAAATTCCAACAGCATAGAAATCAGCTCTTTAAGACCAAATAACATAAGGAAGGTCTAAGCAAGGTTTAGCTCATCTTTAAAAGCATTTTGGAACAGAACATCTTCATTTGTTAGAGCTCTTTCTCAAATCAAAAGAACAGTATCTATGAATGCTGACAACATCGAAGAAAATCTTGAAAACGTGATTTGGATTGAGATTTAAACATTTCCATTTACTTAGCAGCACTTCCCAAAAAAACACAAATATTTAGGATGAGATGTTGGAAGGAGAAACAATATGGAATTTGAAATCTGGTCCCACTGTTTACTAGCTAGATAAAGGCTGAGTTATTTAATTTCTGAATGCCTAATCTATTTTAAAAAAATAGGAGCTCTCCTCACATTAAAGAGATGCTCTGTAGATAGAGGCAGAGATGTGGAGAGATGGAGCAGCTGGGTACTCAAGACTCATGGAGGGAGAGGGGCTGTGTGCTGGCGGCTGAGGGCAGGCTTGCAGGGTATACCCTTTGGTTGTTTCAATGATTATATATTCCTGAGTGTTTTGGTAACAATGGAATGGAAACAAATACTTTTGAATGATGATGCATGGAGGGAATTGTAATCATTGCAATGAAATGAAATAGGATAGGATGAGTGTATAGCTGATGTTCCCCCATGTAAACTATCACTCAATTCACAATAAAAACTTAAAAAAAGAGATGCTCTGTAAACCTAACTGTTGTGGTTGTTAAGTGCTGTCAAGTCAATTCCAACCCACAGTGACCCTGTATAGGGTTTCCAAGGAGTAGCTGGTGAGCTTGAGCCACCAACCTTGCAGTTCAAACAATTTTGCAGTCTGACGTATTAACCCGCAGCACCATACCAGAATTCCAATTGTTGTTGTTAGGTGCTTCAAATCAGTTCAAACTCCGAGCCATCCTGTGTACAACAGAACAAGCCATGGCCCAGTCCTGCACAATGCTCGTTACGTTCAACGCCATCTTCACAACAGTTGTTATGTTTCACGCCATTGTTGCTACCACTGTGTCAATCTATCTCCTTGATTGATTGTCTTCCTCTTATTTGCTAAGCCTCCACTTTACCAACCATGATGTCCTTCTTGTTGTTGTTGCTGTTGCTTATTGACACCCTTAGGTAGGGTTTCCTAGGAGTGGTTGGTGGGTTTGAACAACTGACCTTGTGTTTCACAATTCAGTGCTTATCCTATAGTGCCACACCGGGAGTCCATGATGTCCTTGTTGTTAAGTGCCATCAAATCGATTCTAGCCCAGAGCGACCTTGTACAGGATTTCTAGGAGAAGCTGGTGGGTTTGAATTGCCAACCTTGTGGTTCACATCCAGTGTTTATCCTACAGCACCACACCAGGACTCTATGATGTCCTAAGTTTCCCTTTAAAGACTGCATATACTGCCAAAAAGTCAAGAAAATTGGTTGGCTTTTAAAAATGTGGACCAGAGATAAGAGAAAGTTCCCCGAATAGTTTAAAACGAAGTTTTGCTTTGTAATCTCAGAGTTGCTGATTCCATCTGCTGTTCACATCCTGAATTTGTGTTTCTTTTCTACTGGCAGTGGAAGACTTTCTAGTGACAGCAAAAATTTTCTTCTCAAATGACTGATTCCAAACCCCTTATAAACAAATCATCCTTAGACATCAACATTTTGTCTAGCAATGACTAATCCTAAAATTTTTGTAAAATTATTATCTTGAATGCATTATTTTACCACATAGCTTATCAAAATGAAGATCCTTAGCAATTCATAAGAACTGATTACTCACCAAGTACTGCATAGCAATAGAGCGCCGAAGCGGCCCAGGAGGTCCTATTAGAAAGACGTCTTGTCCCAAAAGATCCTTCTGCATTATCCATCTTAGATGCTGAACTACAGATTGAGCCAGAGAATCTGAAACTTTATATGAGAAAAAAGATTAAATTAAATGCAATGTAGACTATTACTTTACAATCCACACCTCTAAACAATGCAGATAGTATATTTTATTTAAAAAAATACATTCATAATCTAATAAATTTTAGGTTAATAACTGCTTTACAATAAACCATTATTATTGATCAACATTAAAACAAGACAACATGTGTAATATCACAATAAGTCACCTAACCACACACTTAGGCGTTTGGAAGAACATTTGAACAACTACCTGTAAGTGTCACTAAAGCAATGAAAGTGATTTTCAAGGGAGTTTGAGGAATTGGTATCATTACGTCACCACAAGTTTATAGTCCACCCCCTTTGTTCTAAAAAGGAGATATGGCTAAATCATCCCAGATGATTCATTTTTATCATAGTCTTTAAAACTGTAAAAGAAAACAGATTACAATTAAGTTGGCAATGTGTTGTAGAATCTCCCAAACTTCACAAAAAGTAAGCTATAAACATAAATGACCTAAATGACTTCATTAGAATTTAAATTTAAATCTATTACACCAACTCTTTTAAGGAGCTCTGGTAATATAGTAGTTATAAATAGGGCTGCTAACCTCAAGGTCACCAGTTCGAAATTATCAGCCGTTCCACAGGAAAAAGATGAATCTTTCAGCTCCAGTAAAGAATTATAGACTTAGAAACCCTATGCAAGGTCACTATGAATTGGAACCAATTCCAGGGCACACCACCACCACCACCACCAGGCCAACTCTTTTAGGACCTTCCAAGGCTACTATTAAATCACCTGTCATTCTGTTCCTTTCTGCCTAAACATTTAAAAAATGCAAATTAGTCATATTTTTCCTTCATTTTCTCCTGTAAATGTATAATTTCTCAAGAAAACTCACACCGTGGTAAGCTGGCACCATTGTAGAACTAAGTCTTAAAAACAATTAAGTAGGTAAATTGTCTTTTCTTAAATTCAGTAGTCTAAGCTTACAGTTTCCCAAACCTCAAGGAAGGGACTCCGGTAGCATAGTGGTTACAAATTGGACTGCAAACTACAAGGTCAGCAGTTCAAAACTACCAGCTGCTCTGCTGGAGAAAGATGAGGCTTTCTGCTCATCTTTCTGTAAATCAAATAAAGATTTACAGCCTCAGAAGCTCTGTACAGGGTCGTTACGAGTCGGAACCAACTTCACGGCACATAACAACAACAAGCTTAAACTTAGTAATTACAGCTGGACTGCTAACCACAAGGCTGAAGGTTCAAACCCACCAGCTGCTCCTCAGAAACGTTATACAGGGTCTCTTTGAGTCAGAACCTACTCCACGGCACTGAACAACAACAACAATGCATAAACTGAGAGCATTGATGGCATTATGTATGTTGTTGTTGTTTAGTGCCACGGAGTCAATTCCAACTCATAGTGATTCTGTATAGGGTTTCCAAGGAGTAGCTTTGAACCTCTGACCTTTCAATTAGCAGCCCAGTGCTTATCCAGTGCTTATCCTACAGAGCGACCTCAGGACTCCATATATATGAGCAATTATAACTAGTTCTCTTGTGCATGACTCAAGATTCAAAACACTAGCTAAAAGGAAAATCTGACATCGCATCAAATAGTAAGGAAATCTGAGAACTACTGATGATTACCAATTTATCATAGTTGAAAGTCTCAATAAGACAAACTAACAGAAAATAAGATTTTGGTTTTCTTCACTGCTTGGGACCTCTGACAAATTGTTTTACATCCATTTGAATTTCTGCATTCTGATAAATAATTACTTTGGTAGATAAATAAGATGCATGACCAATTTCTTAATGAAAAGACAGAAAGTTTCATGGAATTCAAATAAGAACTACTTAATGTTGTAGCTGAAAACTAGTATATATTTTTTAGTATCTGGAGCTATCGGTTAATGCGCTGGACTGCAAAGTCGCTTTGAACCGTAAAATCTGCAGGTTCAAGCTCACCAGCTACTCCTCGGAAACCCTATACAGGGTCACTATGGGTCAATACCGACTCGATGACACTTAAAACAGGGAATTAGTTCCAGGACCCGTGAAGATACCCCAATCCACAGATGCTCAAGTCCCTCATATAAAATGACACAGTATCTACATATAACCTATGCAAATCATCCCATATACTTTTAAATGGTGGTGGTGGTAGTGGTTATGTGCCATGGAGTTAGTTCCTACTCACAGTAACCCTGCATAGGGTTGCCAAGGCTATAAATCTTTACAGGAGCAGAAAGCCTCATCTTCCTCCAGCAGAACAACTGCTTATCTTGAGGTTAGCAGCCAGACTTGTAAGCACTATCTGTTGTTAAATTGTTGTTATGTGCCATAGAATAGGTTTTGACACATAGCCACCCTGTCTAGGGTTTCTGAGGCTATAAGTTACTGCAGGGGCAGAAAGTGTCATCTCTCTCCCACAGATCAGCTGGTGGGCTCGAACCAACTATGCGGTTCGCAGTCCAGTACTTATCCTACAGAGCCACTGCACTCTGTAAATAATTTCTAGATTATTTAGCCATTTCTTTGACCACATAATTTCTTTCTTGTCCCACCCCCAGTATTTTCCTTCCAAGGTTGGACGAATACTTGTGTTTATGAAATGTATTTAAACTCCTTTCATTCATGCCTAAAAACGATGTATTTTTCATCATATTAAAACAAATACAGTACCTCACAAGTGGTAAATGTGCCACTCCCAAAACCAAGCCAAACCAATTGCCATGCAATCGATTCCAACTCCTAGAGAATCTAGGCAGCATTTCCAAAACTGTCCATCTTCACAGGAGGAGAGAGCTTCATCTCTCTCCCACAGAGTGGCTGGGAGGTTTTGAACCACTCACCTTGAGTTTAGCAACCCAATGCCTAACCCAAAGCATTGCCGAGCTCCCTAATAAATGTTCCCCCAATTACCCATTCCAGATAGCAGACAAAAACTCCTGCCAGTGTGCATCAGAAGAGATGCAGAATGCTTGCAAAACCATTGTTCAAAATAAAAATGGAAATGGGAGAATAGATAAAGTGAACACAATGGAATGTTGTTGTTGTTGTTGTTAAGTGCCGTCGGTTCTGACTCATAGCGACCTTGTGTAGGATTTTCGAGGAATGGTTGGTGGTTTTGAACTGCCAACCTTGCAGTTCAAACCAACTTTTTGGTCCAGTGCATTATCCTGCAGGGCCACACCAGGATTCCAATGGAATATTACATGGCAACAAAAACAATATTAATTAACACTAATCTAACAATCTAACTAACTCTTAAAAGTATTATGTTGAATAACAAATTAAATAATATGCTACCATTTTGATAAAGCTCAAAAACTAGCAAACTGTTTTTGGGTTTTTTTAAAGTATGTACATCTGTGGTAAAATTTAGCTTAAAGAAGGCAAGGAAATGATAAATTCAGTTAAAGAATACTGAGTCAGTCAGCACAGAATCTAGAGATTCTCATGGGTAGCATTACTGTTGTTGTTAGGTGTCATCTAGTCGGTACCAACTCGTAGTAATACTATGCACAACAGAATAAACTACTGCCCAGTCCTGCCTCATCCTCACAATCACTGCTAGCTTCAGTCCATTGTTGCTGCCGCTGTGCCAAGCCATCTCATCGAACGTCTTCTCTTTTTTCACTGACCCTCCACTCTACCAAGCATGATGTCCTTCTCCAAGAACTGGTCTCTCCTGATAATATGGCTGAACTATGAGACATGAAGTCTTGCCATCATAACTGTACTTTTTCCAACACAGATTTGTTTGTTTTTCTGATAGTCCATGGTACTTTTAATATTCCTCTCCAACACCAATAACTCCAATGTATCAATTTCTTCTGTGGTCTTCCTTATTCATTATCTGACTTTCACATGCATATGAGGCGACTGAAAATACCATGGCTTGGGTCTGGCCCTCATTAGCCCTCAAATTGACATCTTTGTTCTTCAACACTTTTAAAGAGGTCTTGTGCAGCAGATTTGCCTAATGCAATACATCATTTGATTTCTTGACTGCTGCTTCCTTGAGTGTTGATAGTGAACCCAAGTAGAATGAAGCCTTTGACATGTTTTCTCCATTTATCATGATATTATTTATTGGTCCATTGGTGAGGATTTTTGCTTTCTTTACATTGAGGTACAACCCATACTGAAGTAATTGGTCTTTGATCTTCATCAGTGAGTAATTTAAGTCCTCTTCACTTTCAAGAAAGGACAGATCATCGCAGGTTGTTAATGAGTCTTCTTCCAATCCTGATGACAGGATCTTCTTAATATAATCCAGCTATTCAGATTATTTGCTCAAAATACAAATTGAATTAAGTATGATGAAAAAATACAACTCTGGCCCACACCTTTCCTGATTTTAAACCCTTCAGTGTCCCAGTGTTCTGTTTGAATGATGATATACAGGTTCATTGTGAGCACAATTAAGAGATATGCAATATCCACTTTCACAATGTTATGAATAGCTTGTCATGATCCACACAGTTGAAACCCTTTGCATAGTACCTAAAACACAGATCAACATCTTTCTGGTACTTTCTGCTTTCAGTCAAGATCCATCTGATGTCAACAACGATATCTATCCCTAGTTTCATGCCCTTGTCTAAATCCAGCTTGAACCTCTAGCAGTTCCCTGTCAATGTTCTGTTGCAGTCATTTTTCAATTTCTTTAGCAAAAATTTACTTGCATATTATATTTATGATACTGTCTGATGATTTCCACAGTCTGTTGGTTCACTTCTCTTAAGAATCGGTACAAATATGGATCTCTTCCAATCACTTGGCCAGGTAGCTCTCTTCCAAATTTCTTGGTGAATGCCTCCAGTGCTGCATCCGTTCGTTGAATTTTTTAATTTGTATTCCATCAATTCCTGGAGCCTTCTTATTTACCAATGCCTTCAGTGTACCTTGAACTTCTTCTTTCAGTACCATTGACTATCATATGGTATCTCCTGAAATGGTTGAAAATCGACCATTTCCTTTTGATACAGTTACTTTGTGTATTCCT